GAGTTAAAGCTACAGAAGACACCTGTCCCTGCTCTGAGACAGAGACAACAGCAGGAGACACTGAGTTAAAGCTACAGAAGACACCTGTCCCTGCTCTGAGACAGAGACAACAGCAGGAGACACTGAGTTAAAGCTACAGAAGACACCTGTCCCTGCTCTGAGACAGAGACAACAGCAGGAGACACTGAGTTAAAGCTACAGAAGACACCTGTCCCTGCTCTGAGACAGAGACACTGAGTTAAAGCTACAGAAGACACCTGTCCCTGCTCTGAGACAGAGACACTGAGTTAAAGCTACAGAAGACACCTGTCCCTGCTTTGAGACAGAGACACTGAGTTAAAGCTACAGAAGACACCTGTTCATGCTCTGAGACAGTGACAGGTGTCCTCTGGTGTTTGTCCTTCAGCAACATTCAAACCTTCTGCAGAGCGTCTCTGACTTCAGCAGCTTCTTCCTCTGCCCTCTGTCGGTCCAGCTGCTCCCTCTGCAGCGCCCCCTGCAGGACCAAACACACTGGGTTTATATTGATTCATTAAAGGGATCAATGATTGTAACATTAGACAATATTTGATAAACATTTATTTCAACTGTAAAATAATGACTAAAAATACTGTAGGATGTTTAGTTTTTATACATTCTTAAAATATATATTTTCACATGGATGGAACCATGTTATTAACATCATGTTGTGGATTTGTTTTACTGCAGGAGGGACTGGTGCACTTCACTGAATACACGCCATCATGAGGAAACACTGACGCAACATCAAGACATCAAACAGGAAGCTGAAGCTTAGACACAAACAGCTCTACCAAAAGGACAATGAGCCGAAGCCAAACTGATTACAAAGTGTATGATCTTATGTGAGCAAGGCTGCTTCCAAACATGGCTGCGTTCTGTCAGGAAGAACAGGACAAACTTCCTGCAACTATTGTGAGGAGTTTGTGGAAGGAGATCCAACAGTGTGAAAAAAATACATATAGTGTATGTAAATATGTTTTCAACTGTATATTATTAATAAATATGTGATCTTAGTTTATAAATTACTAATGCTCCATTATCATAGACATATATGACAGATGTGCTCTGAGGAGGACCTGCTGTGTTTGAACACTGAGTGGACAAACAGTGTGTGGTTCTTTAGACAAACAGTGTGTGGTTCTGTAGACAAACAGTGTGTGGTTCTGTAGACAAACAGTGTGTGGTTCTGTAGACAGTGTGTGGTTCTGTAGACAAACAGTGTGTGGTTCTGTAGACAAACAGTGTGTGGTTCTGTAGACAAACAGTGTGTGGTTCTGTAGACAAACAGTGTGTGGTTCTGTAGACAAACAGTGTGTGGTTCTGTAGACAAACAG